GAAACCTCTCCCATCCACCCCTCCCACTGACTCCTCCTGCTGGAGCTCTCTCCCCACACACCTGGCCTTCAGGCTTGGCATTTCCTCTGCACACACCCCCATCCCCAGCACACTCACTCACACACACACACACACACACACACACACACACACACACACACACACACACAGCTTCTGTGCTTCCTGTGTGTGTGTGTGTTTCACTGTGACTCAAATGCCACTTCCCAGTGAGGAGTTCCCTGGCTGAGTCCTCTAAGACTATCCATCGTCCAGCGCTCTCCCCAAGCCCTCACAACACAATCACTGCCCTGCGAGCTAGCCAGGGAAACCTCTTCTCTTTGCTCTGGCACACGAGCTCCAGGAGGACAAGGATGTTTATCCATTTTGCTCTCTGGTGTCGTCTTATCACCTGTGTGAACGGCGCTGGCCATCTAAAAGTTGCTCAATACGTATCTGTTGAGTGAGTGGTACATGTCTTAACAGTTTTCAGCATGTAGCAGATATGGAGGGGAGGAGCTTTGGTAGCTCCCTTCTTATGGCTAGTCTTCCACGCGTTGTGTTTTCAGGTAGGTAGCACTATCTGTCAAAGACGACACCCCAAAGTGGGAGAGGTTAAAAACCCAGCGGAGGACAACTTGTGCACAGGCAAAATGGGTTTGGGGGCAGATGTAGATGCTCAAGGGGCCAGGGGTCTGCCTTTTACGTTGATTTCAGGTGTGGATGCTCTCCTCCCTCACAACATGGACACGAGGCTCCAACAGCAGGTCTGGAGGTGTGTCGGGGGCATCATCCCCCAAAAGCGGGCCTCCCTCTCCCTTAGAGTCCTCAACCATGAAGCCAACTGTTCACTGTTTCTGTTTCCCAGTCCAGTCCAGATGCTCAAGCTGTAATACAATGAGCAGTACCCTGCTGAGTAGCCAAGGCATTCAACTTGAGTATTGAGAGAATGGTAGAAATATTCTTTCCCGCGGTTTTCTTATGGGATCTTAATGTTGACAGTTGGAATCTGCCTCACAGGGCTGTTGTGCGGATGCATGAGACCATGTGGTTATCATTCTCAGCACCATGCCTGGCACACAGGCTTAGTGAATGCTAGCTGCTGTAGTTATTGACTGGGAGGTGGCCAACGTCTGATTTCAGTTGGTCGACTGGAGTATGGGGTATGGATTTCACTGACCCCTGCTTCAATCATCCACTCAACTGTTTCCTGGATCTGCACTGAGACTAGGACTCCTTGTTCAAGGTCACATGGCCGGGACTTCTAAAAGGCCTTGATCAGGATACTTTTCAGGATACCCAACTTCCTCTATTATGCTTGTTTCTGCCGGGAGGTAATTGTTGCCATCTCTGCTGGGCTGCACAATTTGAGGTATAATTTACATAAGTATCAATTGCCACCATGACCAAGGCATGAAAAATAATTACCTCGAGTGGAAACTGGGGTTGGGCCTATGAATGGAGGCCTGGCTTGTATGAGCTACAAATGAGCTGCCTCTTCTGGAGCAGTATGTGCCTGCTGGATCTCGGGACAGCTGCAGTCACCCCGAGGCTGTTTCCCAACACCTGCCATGCAAGTGCCAGGAGGTCATGAGTTCTGACTCTGGCATCAAAGTCCCTGAAGAGCTGGGTGGTGGTGCACTGAGCCTGTAATCCCAACCCCGAGGAGGAGCGTGAGGCTAGCGTGGGCTACATTGCAAACCCCAGGCCAGGCGGGGCTGCATATTGAGATACTGTCTCTGTGGGCTGGCAATGTAGTTCAGTGGTAGCATACTTAACCCAGCATGCCCAAGGTACTGGGTTCAATGCCCAGCACCACCAAATAAATCCCCGCTAAGAGTTCTTAGGGCGGAGATATCTTCCCATTGTCCAATATGGGAGTCACTGTTCTCAGAGTTTCCTCTGCTGGCTTTGTTTCCTAGCTGAACTTGGCAGGACTTTCTTCCCACTCCCGTGAATGACCGTGAACAATGGGTTTCGTCGCTCGCCCTTACCACGGCCACTATCTGCTGCACACATGGACCCAGGGGCCATCTCTTAGTCCTGAAAAGTTGATGATGGCATCTGTGACATGGGAGGTCTTTCATCCCGAGGCAAGGGTACAAATTCGGCCAGCCTTTCCACTGCCATCTGGAAGCAACCCTGGGGACCACGTTTGCAGGTCACAAATATTACTGTTGTTCAACGGCATGAGAGACTAATTTGGGGCTTACCAGAAACGGGAGGCTAAAGACTGAGGAGCCATGGCCTGTGAGGGTAAAGCTAAGACTGAGCAAAACTACATGTTCTAGATGTAATCAACACTCTGAGAACACTGAAAGTACCCACAGCTTGGATTGAAGATCACCAATAAACAGTACCCCAACTTTATTTTTCCCGCTTTTACCCTTATTGTAATCACCACGGTGACAGAGTCCTTGTCTGTATCTCCAAAAACACTGCAATGTTGGCAGACAGACGAGTCTGGTGACAGATACCCCGAGACTGGAAGGGGTTCTGAGAAGAAAATCTACAATAATGCCAAGCGCAAACTCCTGACTAAGACTTCAGCTCTAACCCTGTCCTGTCAGGCTACCTGTGAGAGCTGTGTAGTCTCCGAATGCGTGCGGTTAGTGCAATGGAAGACCCTGTCTTCCCTTTAGGATGGTTACAAACGTGGAGAGCATAAAAGAGCTGGCTCGTTTGGAATATTGGGTAAGCGGTATTTCTGTCATTCGTGTATCTAAAATGTAGATATTTAGTAATACTTTGCAGTGCGCTTGTAAAAAGTAGTGGAAAATGCCCTTGGCCTGTAAAATATGTTTAGTGAATGGTGCTTTTGTTAGTCTTGTCTCTGCCAAGTCTTTACACGTTTGACCTTGAGCAAAGCCATTTTTTGTCACCAGTAAAATTCAGAGTGCTTTTATTCTACCTGAGTCCTCTAAAGACTGAGTGGCAGCTGAAGATAATTACACACAACTCGCTTGTATACTGACGGCCAGAAATGGGGACACCATGCTGGAATGAAACACCCTGGAGTGGGCACCAGAGACTTGGGTTCTGTCCTGACACTTTAACCAAGTGACTGCAGGCAAAGTCAAGTTACCTGACTCCCCATGCTCGTGCTTCTGACCTCTGCCTGGGAGAAAGTATTGCTCCTTAAAGGCAAACGCATTCTTCCCATTTTAATTAACTTGGTACCCAGCAAGGTCACCTCCACATGAATTACAAACTACTCGGGGGCCATTTTTAATCATTAGCAAACTGCCTACTGGTGGATTTTATTCTGATTTGGATCTGATTCGTTGAATCCCTGAGCTGGTGTCCTAAAATATGTTCCTTGACAACCTTACCATACTTAATGTTACTTGAACATAACTGGTAGCAGAAAAGTTTTGATAAGCAGAAAGCTTTTCTAGGATGGCTGCTTTAAGGACACAGTTCCCTAATGCCCATCTCTAGTGGGTCCCGCTCCTTTGAGGTTCCCTGTTTGTATTTTCTAAAGTATTTATTCCCAGAGTGAAGGTGGGTGGTCCAGACTGCAGAGGCCAGGGGCTGATCTCTAATCTCCTGTGTGCGTCCCCACTAAGTGGGAAAGCAACAGACTGAACACGGAACAAAAGCATGGGGCTTCCTGGTGCCAGAGACAGGTCTTGAGGTGGAGCTTCTTGGCTGGAAGAGATATGTGTTCCCACTATCTATAAGATATTTCAGGCATTATTTGACCTCGGAAGGCTTCGATACAAGAGGGGCCCTTATAGAGTTGAGCGAAGGAAAGCAGCCAGGGTCAAACTGGTCACGGTCACAATCACTGTGCTCTCTAAAACCACTGCTGTGGAACAGGAGCTCCAGGGATTACTGTGTTATTGAGAATCATCAGTGCTCTTATTAACATTTTCTGTACCACCCCACACCCTCCATCTCCTTCCTTTATTCTTTCCCCTTGTCTCCTCCAAAACCTGAGGGGATTTATTAAAGGTTACCTCACGCTAGCCTCATCCAACCACCTCAGCTAGATTACACGTCCCTCTGTAGCCTTTCATTCATTGTATCGTAATTTCCAGTTTATTTCCTCTTCCCACCAAACACAGGATCCATTCTATTCCCAAATGCCCGAAACGGTGCAGTACAAAACATAAGATGCTGGACAAGTTTATTGAGTGTACCAGGATATGCTTCTCATTCACTGCATTTTAATGTTTTTCCAGATCACTATAATAGCTAAGCAAATGGAAGTACATGCCAGTATTTTTTTTTTTTTAATAAAACACAAAAAATGTTAGAGGCTCGGTATCAAATAAGCTCCCTGGTACCGGGTCAACCTGCTGAGTTCCTTCAAGTCATCAAGGACCAGCATCACAGCGCTGCACGATGCATTCAGGATCACAGAATAAAATGCAATGTTTTTCAACTCATTTTACAAAAACAACAAAATTCTACAGGAAAAAGAACGAACGGCCTCATTTATGAACAGCAATTTAATATATTCAAAGTAACAAAAGCCTAGCAAGATACAAGATCTAAACACTAAAGTTCCAGTTTTCTCAGAAATGACACTTACTGGGCCCTCATTGGCGGCCCTTCCTCCTGCCTTCACCAGCCCTGGAGGGTGGCCCTCGCCCCGGCCCAGAGGACCTCGTACTGCTCCGGACAACACTGTTGTGGTTCGTTCTTCCGAAGCCTGGCCGCGCACACCTGGGCTTTCATCTCGGTGATTTGCAGGTTGCTTTGGGGACTCCAAGAGCGTTCATATTCCGACGAATTGGTGTGAGGCCACCTGTCTGTAACTAAGGTATCGCTGCTGAACAAAACCTTCCCTGACAAGCCTTTCTGGGTACCCAGAGAGAACTCTTTAATGGAAGCACACACACACACCCCTCCCCAACCGACTCAGCATCTCCCAGAACCGAGCCTCCCCGGTGCTATTACCTTTCGTGTAGATAAGACCCATGATTATCACTAAGAGAGCTAATCTGGGGCCATCTCTTCCCAGAGCCTCCTCCAACCCCTCAAGAGGTTTTAACCTGCCGGTCAAGATGTGAGCGTGGTGCAGGCGGTGAAGCCGTCTTCAGCGGGAAAGCAAAGGCGTTCTGCGGCCCTTGGGGCGATCGTCCGGTGCAGACCCTTCGGGGGTCTCCCAAAACACGTCTGTCTCGCCGTCTCGGAAGCGTGTGACGAGGCTCGCTCTTCTGCCTGGGTCCCCCACCAGCCGAAACCGCACCGAGTGGGCGGCCGTCCCGATCCGTGGGCGTGGGGAGGCGGCCAGGGCCCCGGGCTCGCCGTCCCGGCCATGCTGCTCGCCCTCGGCCCCACTCCAGGCTTCTGCCACATGCCTTCGGGCAGGCGGTGCCCGGCGAGCCACCCCAGAGACTGCGCCCGCGGGCCGGGGAA